CCCCCCCCCCAGAGTGGGGGACTCAATTACTAGGGATCACGATTTCAAGGAGAGAGGGGAAAAGTTTAAGGGAGATATGCGTGGAAAGTTCTTTACGCAGAGGGTGGTGGGTGCCTGGAATGCGTTGCCAGCAGAGGTGGCACAGGCAGGCACGATAGCGTCATTTAAGATGTACCTAGACAGATACATGAATGGGCAGGGAGCAGAGGGATACAGATCCTTGGAAAATAGGGTGACAGGTTTAGATAGGGCATCTGGATCGACACAGGCTTGGGGGGCCAAAGGACCTGTTCCTGTGCTGTAATTTTCTTTGTTCTAACTGTCTGTGTGGAGCTTGCGCATTCTCCTGTGTCTGCATGGATTTTCACTGGTGCTTCGGTTTCCGCCCAAAGTCCAAAGATGTGCAGGTTAAGTGGATTGGCCGTGCTGAATTGCCCAGTGTCCAGGAATATACAGGCTAGGTGGATTAACCATGGGAAAATGCAGGATTACAGGGATAGGGTAGGGGGACGGTCTAGGCGGGATGGTCTTTGGAGGGTCAGTGTGGATTCAATGGGTCAATCATTATCCTCCTCACAATTCACAATAATTCTAAGATTTGTCACTGCAAATTTTGGAATGGTGAACAGCAACCAATTTTCATGTTGTTAATACAGATCAAAGAAAGCGCTGGTCCCAGGACTGACCTCTAGTGAACAACACCTTCCTCCGATCCACAAAACAACAACTGTTCACTACTTTTCTAGCACTGAGTTCCAAATGCCCACCATCTTCTCAGTGAAAAAATCTTTCATAAATACCCTCAACCTCCCATTCCTTTACTTTAAATCTTTTGACTACTTTACTGAAGGGAATTCTATGTATGTCCCTCATACATTTGAAACACCTCAATCAAGGCTACCCCAAGCCTTCTCTGCTTCAAGGAAAACAACCCCAGCCTAGTTTAGTCTCTTCACAGCTGAAATGCTCTGTCTGGAGTAACATCCTAGTGAATCTCCTCTGCACCTCCACCAGTGCAATCATATCCCTCCTACAGTGTGGTGACCAGAACTGCACACTACTCTAGCTGTGGCCTAACTAACATTGCATACAGTTCCATCATAACCACCGTGCTCTTGTATTCTATGCTTCAACTAATAAAGGCAAGGATCTCATATGCTACACTAAAACCTGCCCTGCTGCCTTCAAGAATCTTTGGACGTGCACAACAAGGTCTTTCCGGTCCTCTGTAAGTCGTCAGGTCGACCATTCAACGTGCACTCCTTGGCCTCGTTAGTTCACCCAAAAACCTTACACTTTTTGGATAAATTCCATTTGCCACTGTACAGCCCATTTGAGCAGTCCCTCTTTATCAGCTGCACTCATAGTAAGGGGAAGAGGAACCATTATTCACATGGTGCAGTCAACTTTAAATAGAAAGATAAAGAACCGGTGCTAACAGCTGCCAGCTATAATGACCAACATACCCGCTGGTTGATGGCAGACGATATCTGGAAAAGCAGACGTACTAACAGGCCACTCTCATAGCTGCGAATTGGCTGCAGCTCAGGGTCTCCCCGATACTCTATCTCAAACCTTCGGAGTCCATTTATAATCTGCAAAACAAGCACAATTCAGTACAACCAGACAACGGTACATGGGAAGACAACGCAGCCTCAAAACCCTCTCCGCACCCAATAAGGAGGAGAGCAGACAGAGCCAGCTCCGTTCACCTGCCTCCCAGAGAGAGTCAATGATCAGTCCACATGCAGTGACTCGACATGTGAGCAAGCTGCAGCAAGTGTTTGAAAACCAGATGTGCCCCAGCTCTCACACCTGCAATTTTCATCAACATTACTGGTTTGCCATAAGAGGTGGAGTGTCTGGATGATTTTCATCCTCCCTGGCTTTGAGATCACATATGCTCGTGCCACCAGCTGGCCATAATCAGGCAGGTTCACCCAGACCAAGGAGAAGCCACAGAGTTGCTTGTCAAAGTACTTCAGACTCTTATTGGATAAATTTACTGAGCTACTCCATGTTTCACTTCGTCAGGTGTTAAGTTATTCCTAAGGGAAAAGATTACTTTTATAATTCTCTCTCTCTCTCGAAACCCATGTCCCTTTCCCAGGAGCTAGGTAATCCAGGTAAAGGTAATGCTCCAAAACTTGCCAAATAGGTGAAGCCTGTTCCCATCCTTCCCAATGAAACATGTAATCAGAAAAACAGGTGGTGTGGAATTCTTCAGTGAATTCCTCCACTTTGCCCTGGCTCAGCAAACACTTACTCCCTACTGCTCACTGATGAACAGGAACAAAAGACAACTGCTAGGAGCCAGGGCTGCGTAGCGAGACAAACAATGAAATATTGAAAGCTCCATTTCTACTCTGGTTTCTGAAATGACAGTGTGTCTGATGTGTTAGTGAGTGACAGGGTTTTATACATACCTGGTACCTGCCCAGTTGGGTCAGGGTCAGCCCATTCTCTCCCCGAATACAGTCAGGCATCTGGTGCCTTCCATTTTCATCTGGAGCTGCTCCCACATTCATTGCCAAGGTCGACAGGTGTGGGGTGCTGAACTGTGGACGAACAAATATGACTTTGATCAGGTGAGCTCTTTCTAACTCACAGTTATTGGCAACTCAGTTGTGAGGATGTTCTAATTGCTTCCTTATGGAAATTTAAAGATTACAAACATTACAACACATCACAACACATCTGAAATGCTTCACGTGATCATTTTTGGGAGGATACCCATTGTGTGAAGTGCAAAGAGACTGGAGTTAAGCAGCCTCTCCAATCAGCAACTATTTGAAATCGATAACTCAATCTTACTGAGCCAACTGATTCGAATTGAGCAGATCTGTAGGTTTGTAAGCCAATGTGGTTTGCTTCCTTATTGTTCACAAGGTGATACATTTGCAAATGGTCAGGGGAAAAGAACAGGGAGGGAATCTTGAATAAAAACGAAACACTGCAGATGCTGGAAATCTGAAATCGAAAGCAGAAAATACTGGAGAAACTCAGTAGGTGTGGGAGCATTTGTGAATAGAAAGCACTGTTAATGTTTTGAGTCTCATAGGACACTCCTTCAGACATGAAAGAAGCTGAAATGGAGACGTTTATTCAGAGGACCTCAGAGGGGAGGAACTTGAACGGATGGTGACAAGAGTGATAAAGAAACAGATGAAACAGAGGTGTAAACATTAGCTGTGAAAGAAGAAAAAGGGTTTGCTCTGCAGAGTGCAAAGCCAAACAAAATACAAACAAGACACCAAGGTGCAGGGCTGGATGAACACAGCAGGCCAAGCAGCATCATAGGAGCAGAGAGGCTGACGTTTCGGGCCTAGACCCTTCATCAGAAAAGGGGGAGGGGAAGGGGGTTTTGAAATAAATAGGGAGAGAGTGGGAGGCGGATAGAAGAGGGATAGAGGAGAGGATAGGTGGAGAGGAAACAAACAGGTCGAAGAGGCGGGGATGGAGCCAGTAAAGGTGAGTGTAGGTAGGGAGTTAGGAAGGGGATAGGTCAGTCCAGGGAGGACGGACAGGTCAAGGGGGCAGGATGAGGTTGGTTGGTAGGAGGGGATAGGTGGGAGGAAGAACAGGTTAGGGAGGCAGGGACGATCTCTCTCTCACAAACAAGACACAGCTGGGGACAGTGGGGATGTAAGAAAATGAAGGCCTGAAGTTAAAATCTGAAGGTGAAGAATTCAACATTCAGCCCTAGAGGCTGTATCTAACTATCACACAAGATGGCATTCCTCCAATTTGCCTTGAGCTTCATTAGAATACTGCAGCAGCCCAAGAATGGAAACAGCTGTATGACAGCGAGGTGGTTTTTTGAAATCGTAAGCAACTGGAAGTTCAGGGCCATTCCTACAGACAGAGCGGAGGTGTTCTGCAAAGTGGTCACCCTGTCTGTGCTTGGTCTTGACATTGTAAAGGAGACTGACTCTGTTAAGCAATGTCTGGTTGGCTTTTAATTCCAGATTTAACATTAATCAAAGTGACATTCTACTAGCTCCTGTGCTGGGACTTGAATAATGGCCCAAGAGCATTAACCATGGCCTCTGGATTACTGTGTTTATTGAGGAGAGAATCATGAATGCTAAGGAAATAAGGGAAACCAGTGGGGATGTTTTGGACCATATACACATTACCAGAGAGGAGGTGTTTGCAGCCTTAAAGCGCATTAAAGTGGATAAATCCCCTGGATCTGATCAAGGCCATCCTTGGTGTCGTAGGAGGCTAGGGAAGAAACTGTAGAGGCCCTTGCAGAGATTTTTGCTTCATCTTTAGCCACTGGTGAAGTTCTAGAAGACGAGAAGGTGGCTAATGTTGTTCCGTTGCTTAAGAAAGGTAGCAAAGACAAGCCAGGGACTACAGGCCAGTCAGCCTGACATCAGTGGTAGGCAAGTTATTGGAGAGGATACTGAGGGATAGGATCAACCAACATTCAGATCGTTAAGGCCTGATTTGGGATAGTCAGCATGGATTTGAGAGCCGGGAGTCATGTGTGACAAATCTTTTAGAGTTTTTCAAAGAGATAACCAAGAGGACAGATGACGGTAGGGCAGTGGATGATGTCTATATGGAATTAGTAAGACCTTTGACAAGGTCCCGCATGGCAGGCTAGTCACGAAGGTTAAGTTGTGCGCGATCCAGGGAAGGATAGCTAATTGGATTCAAAATTAGCTCAACGGTAGGAAGCAGAGGGTGATAGTTGAAGGCTGCTTCTTGGACTGGAGGCCTGTGACTAGTAACAAAGGTCCCAGGACCGACGCCATTTATATAAATGATCAGGATGTGAATGTACAAGGCATGATTAGTAAGTTTGCAGATGATACAAAATTAGGAGGTATCACTGATAGCGAAGAAGGTTATCAAAAATTACAGAGGGATTTTGATCAGATGGGAAGTGGGCTGAGGATTGGCAAATGCAATTCAATATAGGTAAGTGTGAATAAAAACCGAAAGAACTGCGGATGCTGTAAATCAGCAACAACAAAGTTGCTGGAAAAGCTCAGCAGATCTAGCAGCATCTGTGAAGGAAAAAAAGAGTTAACGTTTCGGGTCCAGTGACCCTTCCTCAGACCTCCAAACTCTGAGGAATGGTCACCGGACCCGAAACGTTAACTAGATAAGTATGAGGTTTTCCACTTTGGAAAGTCAAACCAAAGTAGGACTTATACAGTAAATGGTAAGGTTCTGAGGAGCGTTGTAGAACAGAGAGACCTAGGAGTACAACTACATAGTTGGTTGTAAGTGGCATCACAGGTGGACAGGGTGGTGAAGAAGGTGTTTAGCATGCTGGCCTCCATCAATTGAGGCATTGAGTATAGGAGCTGGGAAATTATGTTACAGTTGTATAAGTCGTTGGTGAGGCCGCACTTGGAGTGTTGTGTACAATTTTGGTCACCCTGTTATAGGAAAGACATAGTTAAACTGGAAAGTGTGCAAAAGAGATTTACAAGGATGTTGCCAGGACTAGTGGGCCCGAGTTATGGGAGGTTGGCCAGAATAAGACTTCATTCCTTGGAATGCAGGAGATTGAGGGGTGACCTTATTGAGTTGTATGAAATCATGAGGGATATAGAGGATGAATGCATATAGTCTTTTTCCCGGGGAGGGGATATTGAAAACTGGAGGGCATAGGTTTAAGGAGAGAGGGAAAAGATTTAAGAAGGGCCTGAGGGGCAACTTCTTCACACAGAAAATGGTGTGTATATGGAATGGGCTGCAAGAGAAAGTGGTTGAGGCAGATACAATAGCAACATTTAAAAATCTTTGGATTGGCACATGGATAGGAAGGGTTTAGAAGGATATGGGCCAAATGCAGGCAATTAGGACTAGCTGAGAGGGCACCATGGTCTGGATGGACCAGTTTGGGCCAAAGGGCCTGTTTCCATGCTGTATGATCCAGCGATATTACCACTGCATCACTTTCTTTCCTTTAATTTCTTCTCTCAAAGGGTGGTGAATCTTTGGAATTCTCCAGCCCAGAGGGCTGTGTAAGCTCAATCACTGAGTAGGATCAAGACAGTAATTAAAAGGTTTCTGGAGATTAATCACAAAGGAATAGGGAGACTGTATGGGAAAGAGGTAATGAGGTGCCTTGATGAATTGCTAAAATACAGCAGAGAGACACTCTTCCCACGAATGGGCAGACCATCCCAACCTCCCATCTCAAACCGCACTGTCCCTTCGGAGGCAGAGTCTACAATTCCAGAATTGCACTTATAGATCCCTTGGAGAACCCACCCCACCCCCAGAGTGGAAGCAAATCATCCCAAGTCCTGAGAGACTGCCAAAGAAAAAGAATGATCAAGTGTGAAAATCCTTATTAGCTTGTCTTTTCTACCAGCCTGACTTGGTGGGGATATTGGCCTGGGATGCAGGTTTCCTGAACCTGAACAATTTTACTTTATGCCCTGAGCAGAAAAGCAGATTGAACAAATCAAAATCCAAGCTTCCTCCATCACCTGTCTACAACCAAAGCTTCCCAAAGAGAATGGATAAAGATAGAGGTTTTGATATAGTGGAAGTGAAAGGATCGAATTGGGAGAGTGCATAGAAATTTATCTCCATTAGCTAAACAATAAAAAAAGATTCACTGTTCACTTGCAGTTAATTTCCCCAGAATATTTTGTGCATAAAGTAACTCTGCAGTTCATATGGCAAGGGGGTTTTGGCTGCTGGGTGATTGATGTTCAGGGCAAGAGAAAAAGACTGACTCTTGGCCTCTGCAAGAAATCCAATGCTGTAGAACCTTCCATTAGGTGAACAAGGGGCAGTATCTCATTCGAGGCCATCTCCAGTTGTCCTCCAAGCACCACCACGGCTCTCTAACAGTGGTACAGGCCTGATATGTGAAAATATTCATCTGAATTTCTTGATTTCCTCCCCAACACCTCCATAGCCTGAGACCTCAAAGATCACGCAGTCAGAACTCCCTCTGTACCCAGGGGTTGTACCAGTAGGAATCCTTTAGCAATTCAAGATTAGCAGAGGAACCAGACTCACCAACATGGGACAGCTAGTCTGAATCTTGAGTAAAATTTAACAAATCAATTCTAACAAAGTATGAATCTTACCTTGAACACTAAACACAAGTACTCCAATGATCTTTCAAGGTACTCATCAGTTTTCCGTATCTCATCAGGTCCCAAATCATCCAAATCACTACCTCCGTAAGTCGAGGTATTGAAATCATAGGTGGTCAGGCCCAATAAGGACATGAGCGACTGGCCTGTTGATTGCTCGGCTGTGTGATCAGAGATCGATTTCGCTGTCTGCTTGGCTTGTGCTATTAAATGGGCCAATTTCAGAACCTATAGAAGAATGAGCCAGTCATTCAGATGCAAGCTTTCCACTTTCTTCACACCACCTACTTTGATTACAAAGTAGCTCAACTCAAACAATGCTGCCCATGGCCTTTTCACCACGTTCCATTCACAAATCACTGACCTTGACTGATACCAGCTTGATTTTCAAAGTCCTATCCTTGCTTTTAAATATTTGCACAGCCACTCTCATCCCTATTTCTGTAATTCCCGCACATCTCCAATTTCAGCACTCCTTTAATTTTAGTCGCTTATACATCATCAATTTTAACAAGTCTACCACTGGAGACTATGCCTTTGGTTGCCCAAGCCCGAAGCTCCAGAATTCCTCCCTAAACCTCTCTGCCTCCTCTCTGCTTTTTAGGCACCATTCCAAAGCTATTTCTTTGACCAACCTTTTGTTCATAGGTCACGTAGCTCAGTGTCACATTTTGTTCAATGACCCTCTAATGAAACACCCTGGGACATCTACATTAAAGGAACCAAATGTAAGTTGTTGTTGAGCTAAGCAGCAAACTGCAGTTCTCCAGTGCAGTCAAGCCCAGCACTACAGTGAATGAATTAATTAACATTCTTAAATTGAGCTCCCTTTGGCTGTTCGAAAGTCTGTCTTATCTTCATTCTGTGCCGTCCTGCAGGGTCAGTAGGAAATGGGGAGATCAGTTTAAGCATATTAGTTCATTCACTCACAGTAGCACTGGGCTTGACTGCACTGGAGAACTGCAGTTTGCTGCTTAGCTCAACAACAACACTACAGAGCTACCACCAGACCTAGTGCCCCAGCAATAATCAGTGCCCATGGGATCAATAATTCCATCAAGAGTCAACATCCCTGGGACTCATACCTCTGTATTCAAGGAACGAGGAGGACTGTTTCATGACTGTTCTCAGCTTTCCCATGACCCCAGCTCTAACACATCCGTAAATTCTTACACTTCAACAAATGGAACATTTTACTAGAGAGACAACGGAACATAGAACAGGGATGAACACTCAGCATCTTATACTCACCAGACTCCTGACTTCAGACCCAAACATCTGCTTGTACACGCAGTCCTGCCCCTCCAAATTGTACACATGACTCTTGACTCTGAAGGCTGTATCGGCCATTGGAGAATGCCACGAAGACATGTACGTGCTGCTGAAGCCAGGAGATGTGTACACACGATGCTGCCTCGGACGATGCATCGGATCAGGCTCCATGAACAAGCGCTCAGCTGTTTATAAACAGGACACAGTGTGGAGTTTAGATTGGTGCTGAAAATAAAAGTTACTTCCAGGAGCGGGTGGAAATTCATCAGCCGTGCTCATTCTCACCCAAGACAGAAGCTCACAGGCTGGAGAGGATTACTCAAAACCCTGACTGAGAAACCAATGCAGAAATGTGAGAGGCTCAGCACTAAACAAGGCAGCACTGCCACAGGGTGCCTTGTACAGCTAGAGGGGCCAAAATCCAATCAGACATTATGTCCAGGTTCTGTGGATCCTTTCAGATGGAACGATTGTGAGAGGCTACTTTGAAGGCATTAAACCAGAAAGTAGACAGGCAAGCAATAAAGATACAGCTGTAATTACGAATGATTTTAACCTGTATATAAATTGGGCAAACCAAATCAGTAATGACACCACAGGGGAGTGTGTACGGGATGATTTTCTGGATTAAAATGTTGAGGAACCAACTAGAAAACAGGCCGTCCTAGATGGGGTATTGTGTCATGAGAAAGGAATAACTAGCAATCTAGCTGTGCAAGGTCCTTTGGGTAACAATGACTATGATTGAATTCTTCATTAAGATAGGGAGTGATGTGGTTGATTCTGAGACTAACGTTCTGAATCTAAATAAAGGGAGCTATGGATGGTATGAGATGCGAGCTGGTTATGGAAAATTGGGGAATGTTACTTAAAGGGACGATGGTGGATAGGCAATGGTAAACACTTAAAAAGCACATGTGACTCCAATAAAATGGGAAAAGTGACCCAACTGTGGCTAACAAGGGAACTTAAGGATAATATTAGATCCAAGGAAAAGGCATAAAAATTGGCCAATACAAAAGCAACAGAGCCAGGGAATGGGTGTAGTTTAGATTTCAGCTAAGGAGAACAAACAGATTGATTAAGAGGGGAAAAATAGTGTATGAAGGTAAGTTTGTGGGGAAGATACTTGTAGAATCTTTTAAAATTAGTGTGTATGAGACGAAAAAAAATTAGTGAAGACAATCAATCTTCCAGTCAGAGACGGGGAAAGTTATAATAGGGAACAAAGAGACGGAAGACCAATTAAATACATACTTTGGTTCTACTTGTGTCCTCATTTGTGAAGATAAAGTCCCCAAAATGTTGGAGAATGGAAAGGGAGGAGGAGAGGGAGAAGGAACTAAAGGAAATCAGTATCAGGAAGGAAACGGTTTCAGGAAATTGATGGGACTGAAGGTCGAAAAATCCCCAGGGCCCGATAACCTACATCCCGGAGTACTAAAAGAAGTGGCCCTAAGAAAAAGTGGATAAATTCGTGGTGATCTTTCAAGATTCTTTACATTCTAGAATAGTTCCAATGGATTGGAGGCCAGCTAAGGCCTTTTAGGACTGAGCTGTGGAGAAATTTCTTTACCCAGGGAGTGGTGAGCCTATGGAATTCTCTAACACAAAGCAGTTGAGGCTAAAACATTGAATGTTTAGAAGAAAGCTTAGCTTTAGTTCTCAGGGCAAAAGAGATCAAAGGGTATGGGGAGAAAGCAGGAACAGGGACTGAAATGGATGATTGGCCATGATCGTACTGAAGACAGAGCAGGTTTGATTGGCTGAATGGCCAACTCTAATTTTCTATGTTTCTACGATGAACAGCAAGGATTGGCAAGGACTTTATACTGCTACAATCTCATAATCACCCCCTACCTTCCTTAATCATTTCAGCGAGGTTGGGCTGACTGTACACTTTAGCCACTCGATACACCATCAGTGCATTCTTGGGGCTGACAAGATCAGTGCGCAAAGCTCGATTCAAAAAGCCTTGGAAGAGTTTTGTGAACATCAGCAGATTGTCCTGCACAAAGGGTGCCCTGTGAGACAGAACGAACAGTTAGAAGCAAGACAGAAATAAATAATCACTGAATAGCATTGTGACAATTGAAAACTGGAGGAATCCTCCAAACACTATGGATCCACAAAATACCACGTCCTCAGAATTATGACTCAGCCCATCGAGCCTGCATCTCTGCTAACTCTTCAAACTGAGCAACCCACTTTAATCCCATTGCCTAAATTCTTTATCAATCAACCTACAATTTCTTTTTACGTGACATTGGAATCAATTCCCCAATATTCCTATGTTCTAATAAAGCATTTATTTCAACTTCCCCCTTTGCTCTTGCAAGGTTAATCCTCATCTCTGCACCTTTGTTTCTGATTCCCAACCACTAGGAACAATCTTTCACCTTTCAAAGTCTTTAAAGAATTTTAAGCCCCTTCAGTATCTGCCACCTTAATAAAAAGTTGTGTAATGCACAGCTGTTGTTTCTATCTGCTTGGAAAAGACGGAAACAATAGAAGACATGGAAAGTTTAAGGAATGAAAAGGCTAAAGAGTGATCTGAGCAATGAGACAAGATACTAGCAGGTTGATTGCTTCAGAATAAATCACACCAGTTTAGTCAGCCTCAGCCAATGAAATGAGCGAGTACTGTGCTACATCATATTTACATAAAAATAAGGATGATCTTAGAAAAATCCTCCAAATAAAACATGAAACAAATTCGCAGTCCCTTTCCAGTTAAATTAAACATCGTTATAAATGATCACATTACTAGAATTTAGTTGATTCACTGTGTTGAAACACAGAAGCAGCAACAGGAAAACGTGACATTTCCCTCATAACATTCAAGGATATGGGACAAGTGCAGGAAACTGGGATTTGTGCACTTTTAGTGGCAGTTATGTTGGTGTAGACTCAATGGGCTGAAGGACGTTTTTTGCACTGTATGAATATATGAATTCGCCCAGGCAGATCAGCATTTACCCAACTGACCAAGTGGTTTGGCCGATATTAAACAGCTGTTCCCAAATTTTTTTCTGTTGGGGGGGAGGGGGGAAGGAGGAGGTGAAAATCCTGACCAGACCATTTCCAATTCAGTTCCGCTGTTCAAAACTCAAATATATCTGCTTCCTAACTCCTGATAGATCAAAGTTCAATTGGTGCAAACACACTTATATGTAAGAGATAGTAGGAACTGCAGATGCTGGAGAATCCGAGACAACAAGGTGCAAGGCTGGATGAACACAGCAGGCCAAGCAGCATC